CCTCCCCCATCGTCAAGGCGGCCCGCCAGGATGGCGAGCTGCTCCTGTCCGCCCAGCTGGATTCTGGGGAGGAGGACCCGGGGGTACCCAGGCCCGGCCCCCACGCACCCTACATCCTCATCTACGCCAACGACCTGGCCATCTCAGAGCCCAACAGCGTGGCAGTGACACTGCAGAGATATGACCCCTTCCAGGCTGGGGACCCGGAGCCTGGAGCAGCCCCCAACAGCTCGGCGGACCCCCGAGTGCGCCGGGCCACGCAGGCCATGGGGCCGCTCCAGAACAACGAGCTGCCGGGGCTGGACGAGAGGCCGGCACATGCCCCCCACGCCCAGCACTACCACAAGCACGAGCTGTGGCCCAGCCCCTTCCGTGCACTGAAGCCTCGGCCGGGCCGCAAGGACCGCAGGAAGAAGGGCCAGGATGTGTTCATGGCCTCCTCACAGGTGCTGGACTTTGACGAGAAGACGATGCAGAAAGCCCGGAGGAAGCAGTGGGACGAGCCACGGGTTTGCTCCCGGAGGTATCTGAAGGTGGACTTTGCAGACATCGGGTGGAACGAATGGATCATCTCACCCAAGTCGTTCGACGCTTACTACTGCTCAGGAGCCTGCGAGTTCCCCATGCCCAAGGTAGAGTGTGTGGGGTCACCCCGCTGTGTTCTGCCCCTGGGCTAATTGTGACTCTCAGCTCTGCCCCTGCGGGCAAGTCCCTCTGCCTCCTCACTCTGTTTCCTGTCTGTAAATAGGGATAATAACACCTCCCATCTACTCAAGGCAGAGAATAGGTAGACAGAGGTGCCAAAATGGCAGCCTGTTCGGTGGATACAGCCCACAGATGGATGGGGTCTGGCTGTGCCTTCACTGAATTTGAGTTTTAAATCAGAACCTTTCTTCTTTTGCAAAACAGGAGATCCATCTCCTTAGGTGTGTGCTCCCACATAGCAATATCCACAGAGGTTGAGGAGACCCTGGCCCCCTGCACACAGGTCAGGTCTCTTAAGCCCCCTCCTCACCAAGGCTCTTCTAGAAACCTGGCCTGGATCTCAGGGCGTTGGTGTCTGTGACCAGCACAGAGCTGGCCTCAGTGGCTTCCCAGTGTGACTGTCCATCCCCCACCCCCGACTCAGGGCAGGAACTCACAGGGCAGCTCGCTCTCATTGCACACAAGTCGGCAGGACACACAGCACGGGGCTGTTTTCCCCATTGTGCTGGCCCGGGTTTTCAGATGCTCACCTTCCCTCCAGGCTGGGCCATGGTTCTGTCCATCCATCTCCCCACATCCTGAACCACGGTGGGCTGGCTGCCTGCTGATGTCGACCTCGGCACAGAGCTCACACTTTCCTCCTCCTTAGCTCCTCTGCTGAGTTCCAGGTCATGCCTTCCTCTCCAAGAAAGGAAGTCAGCGCGTAAATCCACTGTGAACGTAAATAAATCAGCCAGCTGGGAAATCCCAGACCCAGACGCGGGGCCGCATTAACCTGTTTGGGAATTAAGAGGCTTCTCCTCAAAGCCGTGCATGTGCAGGAGAGGGGAAGGGAGGTGTCTGACAGAGAGACAGGCGTCTGCTGGAAGGGCCCAGCCCGGGGGATGCAGGGTGAGTACAGCAGGCTCCTGCTGGCTGACCCTGCACTTACCTTATCAGTCTGCCTGGCTGCCTTTCCACCTTCCCTGACACCAGCCTGAACTCCCCAAATGCGGTGTCCCTCTCCTCCCACCTCCCCACCAGAGGCTCTGTGCGTATAAAACTCTGGCCGACAATGAGCTGAGACACCTGTGACATGGTCCTCTTCATCTTGTGGGAGGTGCCGTGTTCGCTGCTGGGACCCAGACTCTTCTGGATGCGAGAGGCTGCCTGGGGAGGGAAGGGGAAGAGAGCTGGTGTGGGCCCAGCGAGCATGGTTTCCAAGCCAGACTACTTTCTAACTGAGGGCTCCTGGTCCAGTTATTTAGTCATTTTAAGCCTCAGTTTCACCAGCAAAATTAAAGTCATACCCACCCCATAAGGTTGATTCAATGACAAAATGGGGTGATGTAGGTGAAGCAGCGCCTGACACCCCAAAGTCAGACCCACCTGGGAACTGTGAGCTTCCAGCCCCATCACACTGATGCACTTGTGCCTGCAGGGCCTCCCCTCCTGTGCTGAGGGCGTGATCACATGGCAAGCGTGTCGGTGCTCCCTGGACTGTAAAGTCTGGGCAGCTATGGCCCCAGGCAGAACCTCCAATCTTCCCCACTGCCTTCCCTCTGGGGCTCCTGCCCAGTTCCTGGTGCTCCTCGGGGATGTGTGACGCTCAGGTGCCCCCAAGTGGCCAGTGCCATGTAGGGGATGTGCCTTCCCTCTGGGAGCCCGAAGGGCAGGAAGGCCTTTTGCAAAAGTCCCTAGGACTCAGTCTGCCACTGATTTCAGAAGAAATGTGTACCCAACCCTGTGATCTCACCTTTTCTTCTAGGTCAAGGCCTTTTCTGTGGCCTCAGTCAAGGACATGCAGGCAGCGTGGTGGGTGGGTGAGGACTGCAGGGTGGGCAGAGTTCGGAGGTGACCATGCTCATTTCCCCCTTGCAGATCGTCCGCCCCTCCAACCACGCCACCATCCAGAGCATCGTCAGGGCCGTGGGCATCGTCCCAGGCATCCCAGAGCCTTGCTGCGTTCCCGACAAGATGAACTCTCTTGGGGTCCTCTTCCTGGATGAGAACCGGAATGTGGTTCTGAAGGTGTACCCCAACATGTCTGTGGAGACCTGTGCCTGCCGGTAAGACCAGCCGCTCTGCAGTGGAAAGAACCTGCCCCGCCTGCACACAGCAGGGCAGCATTCTCGGAACCTTCTGGAGTGAGCACTTGACTCAGGGTGCAGCTGCAAAGGCAGGGCACAGCTTGCAGGCAACCATCTGTCACCCCAGGGCATCATTCTGGGGTCTTTCACTGCTGGTGACTCAGCCCCCTCAGTGCCAGTCCGAATCCTTTGAAGGGATCTGGGAATTAGCCCTGGCCTGACGGTTGCCCACGGCCTGTCTGCTGTGCTCAGAATGCCTGAAAACCGGACATGTCCACAGGCTGGGTTTTGTGACTATCATCTCATAACCTGGAAAGAAGACTACAAACCCGAAGGCACTCACTCCCTTCACGTGGAAAGAACCTCTGTTTAAACAATCAGTTTAAAACACTTTGGGCCAGAGTGTGATGCTGCAAAACAGGGCCTAAATAATGGTATAAATGGATGTTTTCTCTCAAAATCCACTGCAAACGCTTTTATACATACGGTATGCACATATAACCAATTTTGGTTTCTTTTTCTTAATATATGTTTTATTTTAAAACAAAAAGGAGGGCGTTGACACCGTTCCCCACAGAGGTAGTCAAGCTGGTTGAGCGTGCATTGTTTAAACGTGCTTATTGAAATAACCCATGCAGTGATACGCAGGAATACTAAAACATAACCAAGATTTTATATTTTTGTAAATTATACTTTCTATACTGTAGATTGTGTGCGGTATGTGTTTTTATGGAAAGCTAATAAATTAAAGGGACAGTGGTATCTTAAAAAACTGAATGTCACCCATTGCAAAATATGGATGGATCTCCATGTGTAAGCATGACATCTGGGTGGCTGCTGGGGTCACAGCCTTCTTTAGGAGCCAAGGTCCCTGTAGGCCGTCTCCACACTCTCTCATCTTTATCCTAAGCTCCAGACACCGGCCACTTCTGTGCCTTCCAGGGTCCTGCCCACTCATATCACACCACAGGTCCCCACCCTGGGCTCGTCCAGGAAGGACATGGCCCAGACAGGCACAGTGACCTCCACTCCTTAGCCTCAGAGGGGATATCAAGTGATGGGGAGGTGCCTGAGATATTTAAAGGAACATCTATGGTAACCTGGTCAGAGGGCTTCTGCTTGGGGTAGTTCAAGCAAGAGATTCAATAGAAGAAGTCAGGGGTCTCTCCAGAGATTTGGGGGCTCCTGAGGAACTGGAACGTCTGCTTCTCCCTGCTTCCTAGTCAGCATCCCTGTCCCCAGATAGTCTCCCCCCAAGTGGCTCCCTTATCCCTGAGTTGACATCACCTTACAGTTGTAGTACCTGAAGCTGATTGACCAGCATTTCTGAAGGAGAAACTGGGTCCAACTGGGGGCAGGTGTATAACAGTCCCTCGGCTGGGAACTCAGAGGATGCCATGGCCCCCAGTCTTCTCTTACTCGGAGAAGGTTGAAAAGCCATGAGCAGTTCTCCAGGATGGGACTTAGAAGGAGAAAAGGAGCCCAAGGCATCTGTCTTAGGTCAGGGTCCTGAAACCAGGGTTCCTGGGCAAGGCATGGATGAGGAAGTGCTCCCAGGAGAAACAGGCAAGGAGTGGGTAGAGCAGGACAGGAGGGCAAGAAGCCAAGCATCCCAACCTTGCCTGGATCCTATGGGGAGCTCTGGCACTTAAGCTATACCTCTGGGTTAGTCCAGCTTCAAGGCAAGGATGCTGGATGTTCAGACCCTCTCCCCAGGCTGCCCCCAGTGGTGAGATGGAAACTCTCAGTTCTCTGGCCCTCTACACAACCAGCCACTGTGGCTTAGGAAGCCCAGGCAGCCTCTGAAGAAGGCTACAACTGCAGCCACTGGAGGCGAAGCAGCCGACACTGAAGAGAGTACCCAGAACAGGTAGGTAAGGGGGGCTGAGGGTACCCGGGTTGGGGTCTAGGTATTTTCCCCGTAAACATCTCTACTGTAAGCAGTTTCTTCACAAGCATTCTTGCTGCACGACTAATTGGCCACGAGGCCATTTTGCCATATAAGATAAAATAACTGGTTGACAGTTCCATTACACTGGAAAATATACCATCAGTTTTTACAAATTCTCCCGTGAGCACAGTTATACCTCCCAGCCATCAAAACCAAAAGTTTACTGATTTATCAAAGATATAAAAGAGGCAGCTACTAACAACAGTCTTCGAGGGCATTAATGATGGATTCTTTAGCCCATTTAGATATGACACCTTGTTCTCCTAAGCTGTCTTTACCAAATTTATTATGCCGTATTAGAAGTTGGAGGCAAAAGAAAAATCAACTCCTCCTATCCCTGCCAAAACAAATGTTTATGTGATTCCTGATGAGTAGAAGTCTCTTGAAAATGGTGAGCATTTTAACAAAACCTGGCTTAGATGAACTCAACCAAGGGTTTGCAGAAATTGATGTGTTATCATTTTCTAGAGTAGTATAACTGTCAAGCAGTGATTTTTTTTTTTTACAGCAACATGGCCTTAAGGCCAATCAGTCGTGCTCCAAAACTGCTTGCGCCGAAGATGTTTACAGCAAAAATACTGGACACACCTGGCTGGGGCCCAGCAGCATATGCTCAGCAACCCCTCTGAGGTGCTCCAAATGGTTGTGGGACATGTGTGTGAACAGCTGCCCTGGGCACATGGCCCTGCCTCTTGGCAGAGATCAGGTGAGGCGACGGGGGTGGTCCTTAAGGCACACACTGCCTTATTCCTGCAGGACTTGTACTGGGACTAAATGATTCTTTCATTGGATTGCTGGGAGGTCTCAAATTGGTCTGCAAATTGGTCATGGCTTGGTTTGCCATGTCTAATCCTTTTTGAAATATGACAGAATATAAATTACTAGCAAAATAAGTAAAAACATTAGGGCTTGATAAGGTTCCAAATGCCTTTTTCTTCTCAATATTAGATTTTTCATGTTCCCTTCTCCCCCTCAATTGTCTTCTCATACAACTGCTCCCTTTCCATTGTTTTGGTGAAGATGGGGTGTCTTATAATACTTCTATCTTATTCTTTCCGGCATTTGCAATTTCTGGGAGATCTCCTAGGTCACTATGAAAGGCTACAACTTCTCTGAGCCCTCATTTCTGGATTACAAGGGCAGAGGGAGCAGGCCGGGAGGATCACCCCTGTGTCCAGCCATAGACAGGAGCTTCGTGCTTGTGCCAGGTTGGGTGGTACCCAGTGGTGATGACTTTGCCGTATGATGAAAGGAACTAGTGTCAGCAGGGACCCCTCACATTTACAGAGCATCATGCATTTAGATATGACACTTCATTTAGCCTCACAGCAACCTTGCAGCTTACTCCCCCGCTGGTGTTTCAGAAAAGCAAGCTCAAGACAAGTAAGTAATATGGCACCAATGTCTTAACCAAGACCACAGGTAACATCAGCTTTGACATACAAGGCTGCCTGGTTCAAGGCCTGTGTAGCTGGTGTTGCCTCCCAGCTTCCTGACCAGTGACCCCCACCACCAGCCGGTTAAGGTTGTCCCAATGGCCCTAAGTGGCCTTACAATAAAGCAAGGCTTTATAATGCTTAATACCGTTTTTTTCCTCTTAAAACCAAAGTATCAACATCACATGATCACAAGAGCAAGAGGTCCCAGGACCCAGCCCAGGTGTGCACGGGTCCCTGAGCTCACTAACTGCATCTGGGTCAGTCTGGAGGGGGCAGTGTGGTGGCCTGCCACTGAGCCCTAATACTGAAGTTATACATCCTCTGGATGGGCAGAGCCTTAGTTCATGTGACAAATATAAACAGTACAGCTGCGAGCTGGAAACGTTAAGGCTGGGAGAAAACTTTGAAAAACTTTGGATGCAACCCTTTTACTCAACAAGCAGGAACACTGAACCTGGATACTACCAGGTGTCTTGCCTGAGGCGTCCCGATAGGTGCCTCTGTATGTCTAAGTCACTCGAAAAATGTCATCAGAGCTGTAGCCTGTAACTCAGGCTCCTTCTGTGGCCAGGATGGAGTCAGGGCCATGATGGAGAAGCCTACAGAAGTCTGGGGCTGGGTGAGAGGGTTTGAGGAGAGGGCTCCAAGGGAAGAGGAGTGGAGATGACTCCACCAGGTTGGAAGAGCTGGACTTAGCTGGTGGCATAAAGCCATTGCAGGCACCAGCTTGTGCAAGATGTGTTTGATGGCAGCCCGGGCCAAGGTGGGCTGGAGTGGGCTTCAGCGGGAAATCTAGGAGGGCAGAAGCAGCCTGGCAGCACTGGCTCCTAGCTGTGCACCAAAACATGGAAGTTAGAGCCAAAGGCTATTTCTTTTTACCCAAAGCTGCAAACATAAAATCTCCTTCACTGATAAACTGATGCTTCTGAGATTTCCGAGTCTCCTCTCTTCTACTCCCTAAGATGACGGCGCTCTTTCAAGCTTTGGTCTACTTTTCCTTCTCGCTCAAGCCTAATGCAATCCTAGATTCCTCCAATCTCTCACAGCAGTCCTGTCTGTATGTATAAGGGTGGGTGAGCAGAGGAACGAATGAACTGTTTATTCATTCAGTGATTTAGCACCTACTCTGTGCCAAATACCATACCAGGCAGTATACACACACCTGATCTCTTGGAAGGCTCATACGAATTTCCTCTTTTATTAAAACCAATGTGCAAACTTGAATGTGCATCAGAATCACCTGGAAGCCTTGACCAGATTGCTGGGCTGAGTCAGACTTTCTGATTCAGGGCAAGACTTAGCATTTTTAAACAGTTTCCAGGTGCTGCTACTGCTGTGGTTCAGGGACCACGCTTTTAAGAACAACTGTTCTAATAAATGTGATGACCACCTGGGCACAGTCCAGAGACAGAGTGCACATTGGCTGAGTACTTACCGTGTGCCAAGAGGAAGCAGGATCTCAGGGAGGCGAGGCCCAGAGCTGGGAAATGACATACCTGCTGCTCTGCCTGGTTCATGCTCTCCCCTTACAGCCTCAAGGTCAGTCCAGTTTTCATTCCTCTGAGCAATGTGTGGGTGAGAGTGGAGCTTGAG